AAAAAAAAAAAAATCAAATGTACCTGTCAGATGAAGGCTGTAATACAGGAAGTCAAAATCTCCCTTGAAAGTATTAAAAGCAGATTAGATCATACAGAAAACCAAACCTCAGATATAGACTGAATCGCTAGCCTAGAAAAATCCACCATGAAGACTAAGAAAGTTGCCCCCCAAAATGAGAATTATACGAGAAATACTAGATACCATCAAATGTCCAAACATCTGGATAATCAGTATCTCAGAAGGTGAAGAGACTCATAAGGGCATTGATAAACTATTTCATGAAATCCTGCAAGTAAACTATCTAAACCTAGAGAGGAACTCAAAGATCCAGTCCCAAGAAATATATAGGACTCCAAATAGAATCAATTCAAGAAGATCTTCTCCAAGACACATTATAGCCAGATTGACCAAAACCACAGACAAAATGCTAAGACTGGCAAGAGAGAAACATCAAGTTACCCACAAAGGATGTCCCATCAGGCTGACAGCTGACCTTTCATCAGAAACAATGCGAGAGAGAAAAGAATGGGAAAATACATTCAAGGTGTTGAGTGAAAAACAATTTTCAACCAATACTGTACCCAGCAAGATTATCCATCATATGGAAAGAAAAAACACGAACTTTCCCAGATAAACAAAACCTGAAAGAATTTACCAGCACCAGACAGGATCTCCAAGAAGTTCTTAAGGGAGTGCTATGTCAGTAAAATTAAATGCAGACACACAGAAATAAGAGATACGCACAAAAACTAAGAAAAGGGCCAACATAATCGTAGGGACAAGTCTGGAGTTGAAATATTACATCCCAGAATTTAATCAGGAAGATCGAACCACAACAGAAGATAGATAAAGTACATGAGACTGAACTGGTGAAATATCATTTTATGACTTTTGATTAAAACATTGCTGATTTCCTTCTAGGCTTTGTTTTCCGGTTTTAAGGATTTTCGTTCTGTCTTGAGCTGCTGATAGGTTCATGTACCTACTATTTGAACAGAATTCTAACCTGTTTCCTGGCTTTAAGTATTAAGCAAAGTTCCTTAGCATTTGAATTATTAAAGCTGAAACTGCTTTTCTTGAAATTAAAAAAATAAACTAAAAAATACCTATTTGAGGACTGTAGTAAGCTATATAGCATCAGCTAGGTGCAACCTTATAGTATATTCATTCTACTCAGTTTCACGCCTAAAGTCAGACATGTATTCACTGATACGTATATACCAGCTGAACATGCTATTGAAAGTAGTTAGATTATTTAAGAAATTTTGTGAATCAATAAAATGTGGGGGGGAAAGGAATGGAAAACAGCTGTAGACACCATAGATAGTATGGGAGAAGGGTGGGAAATGGCAGAGGGTGAGAAATAGAGGTAAAATACACACACACACACACACACACACACACACACACCAACACCAGATGAAACAAGAAATGGAAAATTATGGATGACAACATGTATGATCAAGCCACTATGCAGTATATTCTGGATGAGAAAATCACATTTTGTATGCTGTGACGATGTTCAGGGAATGAATGTAAACTAATAAATGTTTTTAAAAAAAGTTTCAGAAAATAAATAATCTTTAAAAAAGGTACATTACTGGGACCAGCAGTTAGTGTAATGGCTATGTCGCTGGATTCCCATGTAGTCAACCATGCTTCAAGTCCCAGACCCAGTGGCTTAAACTCACACCGGGCGCGTGTGTGTGTGCCCAAGATCCTGAGAGGAGAATGGAGGAGAAGGGATTGCGGCGTGGCCATCCTCCCCGGGGGGTGATTTCTCGCTTTCTGTCTCTCTGTCTGTCTGGTGAGCGCGTGCGACCTATAGCAAAAACCTCTCCAAAAAAAAAAGGGTACATTACTAATAATTTAACTGTAAGTTAGTAAAAAGTTTTCACTGCTGACAAGACTATATGTACTTCACTCCTACAGTATAGCACTCCCTTCCTGAACTGCCAGGGACTCTTCAGGACTCCTCTGATAGACCTTAGCAACTTTTTGACAGGCTAGAAGCAATTTCCAAATACAAGATGTTCTTTGGTTCAGTTCTAACAGGTAGAGTATTAAAAACTTTTTTTTTTTTTGAGAGGTTTTTGCTATAGGGCACGTATGCTCGCCAGAAAGACAGAGAGAGACAGAGAAACAGAAAACGAGAAATCACCCCCATGGGGATGGCCACACCACAATCCTTTCTCCTCCATTCTCCTCTAGGGACCTTGGGCACGCACGCACAACGTGCCCGGCATGAGTTTAAGCCACCAGACTTGAGACTCGAACCGCAGTCGACTACATGAGAGTCCAGTGACATAGCTATTATGCAAGCTGCTGTTCCCAAAAACTTTTTTTTTTTTTTTTTTTTAGGTTCTTACCATAGGGCATGTGTGCTCTCTGGAGAGACCAGGTGTATGCGTGGCCATGCCACAATCCCTTCTTCTCCATTATCCTCTCAGTATTTGGGGCATGCACACACACAGGCCCAATGTTATTTTCAAGCCTCCAAGTCTAGGACTTGAACTGCGATCAGCCATGTGGGAAACCAGTGCCTTAACCACCACACCATGTACTGGCCCTTAATAGAAATTCTTTATATTTTCCTTTTTGGTAATGTGGTGGTTAAGGACTACTTACTAGTACTACTAAATTACTAAAAGGTCAATTAAACTTTGTATTTATAATCAACAGTAATCTACTCTTAAATATTAGTAAAGACTATATTTAGTAAGCTACTAAGCAAGTAATCTGGCTGCCATTCAGTGCTCAGCATTCCCGGAAAATTTCTATTAAGTACAGACATCTAGATAGTGGGATTTCCCAAATTACTTAGGGAGATATTTTATTTAATACAAAGTATTAAGTGTTATGTATAGTATCACCTGCTGTTCTTGGTTTTAAAATTTTACTCTCCGGCCTTAGGAAAAGCTAGTGTCGGACTGTACAAATTGAATGCACTTGCATGCTCTATAAAACACGAGCTCGGGCCAGCACACGGTACGGTGGTTCAGGTGCCGGATTCCCATATGGCTGACCGCAGTCTGAGCCCCAGACCTGGCAGCTTGCTTTCTGTCTCTCTCGTCAAAATGGAATAACGGTAATCAATAAAATGGAAAAACAACATGATGCTTAATCTTATTTATGTATACTATCTGAAGCTGTATGATTTTCAATCCTGCTTGTTTTTCTTTTTTTCGTTTTTCCTTCATATGGGAAAGAGCAGACAGACATGCTTGACAGAGTTTCCCTACTCACCACGCTCCTTCCTGCCCGCCTTCCAGCCGGCGAGGGTCGCGGGCACACCTGGTGTTCAGGCTGGTCCAGGACCCAAACCCGGGGCTCTCACGAGGCTCCAGCATCGGCGGCCCTCTACAGCCTGCGTTGCAGCGGCCAGGCCCTCAACCCCGCTTCTGCAACGCTTTGAAACGGGAATGACCACCTCTGTGGTTTGAGTATTTTATTATGTGTCTGATTTCAAAACCTTTCTCTTCGAGGGAAAACCTGACAACACGCACGTTTATT